GCGCGCACCGGCGCGGCCCACAGCGGGAGCCCGGGCACAGCCGCGGCAGGACGGGCGCTGGGGGTGAGCAGGGCCCCGGGGGGTGCAGGGGAGGTCCAAGGGGGTAGGAGCGGGCGGCTGGCAGCAGGATGGAGCCCCGTTCGCGGTGCTGGTGAGGGATGAGTGCTGCGGGGTGGCAGGCCTGGCTTTGCCCAGCGCCTGGGGTGTCCCCTTGCTGTGGGGCACTGGCCCCAGCTGCACGAGCATCCGCAGTGCTGTAAAGCATCCCCGCTGCACCCCCGCAGATGTCCCTTTGTCCCCAGCCCTGCAGCTGCATCCCGGGGGCCCTTAGGGTGCTGTGACCCTGCAGCAGAGCTGGCCCAGCGCCAGCACAAGCTGTGGCAGCTTGAGCAGGGCCTCCAAAGGACAGAGCAGGACTGGGTAGGGAGGGACAAGTCGGAGTCTTGCAGCAGGGGGGGCAGCACGAATAACTGAGGCTTCTTGTGCACTTTGCCATGGGGCAGAGGCACCGCACTGTGCTGTGGGCTGCAGGGACACGCAGCGTGGGACAGACTCATAGACCCACTGAATTATTATGGTTGGAAAAGACCTTCAAGATCATCAAGTCCAACCTTCAAGATCAAGACCACAAGGCTGGTCTCTCAATCCTGTCCCAGCCTGCAGTGGCAGGAGGTGCTGCTGCACAGCCACACTGCTTCACCCCTCACCTGCAATGATTCCCCAGGGTGGTGGCCATGTCTAACGAAATGTCAGCCTGTTGCCAGCTGGCAGCCCTGGGAGCTGCAGGACGGGGGCATCCTTTGGACGGTCTCTGCTGGCCACTGGACAGGACATGTCACAGGTGGGCTGAGTGGGTTGCAGGTGGCCGGTGCTGTGCCCTAATGGTTTCGTTTCCTGTAATTCAGCGCAGCAAACCCTGGGAACCCCCAGCCTGGGGACCTGATCGAGATTTTCCGGCCAGCTTATCAGCACTGGGCCCTCTACCTGGGGGATGGCTACATCATCAATGTGACGCCTGTAGGTAAGGCTTGCAAGTTGTCTTGAACTGATCCAGGAGCCTGTCCTCGTTCCAAGGGCAAGCAATCAGCTCTGAGCAGCTTTGGGTTTCTTGGCAGTATCGTGATGAGCACGAGGTGAAGATGCAATGAGCAAGGCAGGAGCAACAGTGGCCTGTATTTTGACCTTGCGCCTGTCTATCCTTGGCTGATTCAAGAGCCCATCCACAGTGAAGCATAGACATGTTGTATCTCAAGATTTTTCTCTGCCACACAAGAAAATCCTCTGAACTACCCTCCAGGAGGGCCTGTAGACCCTAGAGGGTTGTGAAAAGGGGGTTGTACATCTTTTTTCTGGGGTAGAGCTGTGGCTAGGGAACACTGCAGTCCTCAGTGGTCTGTGGGTTGTATATAGGTTGCATACAGGTTCGTTTCAGGTTACCCCTGTGTCCTTAGTTGCCCCTGGAAACACCAAGGTGCACAGGGGCCTCCAGGCAGGTATTGCACATAGGATGTCTAGGCAGAAACTGCTCTGGGATCTTGGAGGGGCAGGAGGGGGCCAGTCTGGCTCATGCCAACTCTGCCTTTCCCAGATGAAGGGCCTTCATCGTCGTTCGCCAGTGCCAAGTCAGTCTTCAGCAGAAAGGCCCGGGTAAGGATGCAGCTCCTGAAGGATGTGGTGGGAAATGACACCTACCAAATCAACAACAAGTATGACAACACCTACCCCCCCCTGCCCATGGAGGAGATCATCCGGCGTGCTGAGTACTACATTGACCAGGAAGTGTCCTACGACCTGCTTGGCAACAACTGCGAGCACTTTGTGACACTGCTCCGCTATGGAGAGAGGGTCTCTGAGCAGGTGAGTAACACTGATAATTGTGTGCATGCTTGTTATGGCCCTTCCTTGCAAATCATGCACTTAAATTCCCTTTATGAGTCCTTGGACTGGGTCATAGTCAGGAAACCCAGAGCCCCAGGTACTGAGTCCAAACTGTCATTGTCCCCAGTCTTGCAGAGACCCTGGACCACAGGGTTTGCTATGGGCTAAGCTAAAGTAGAGTCCCTCTTGCTGAACACCTTTTGCTGAAGGGTGTAGCCCTGAAGTCTGTCCTGTTCTGCTTATTAGGTGCGTATGTCTCTCATATTCAATTAATTCTCATTTATGTCTGCCTGGTCATCATTAGCATGCCTGGAAAAAAATATATATACTCATCGTGCTACCAGTCTCTCTTTTGCTCTCCCTTTGCAGGCCAACCGAGCAATCAGCGCCATTGGGTTTGTAACAGCTGCTGCTAATGCCTTCTACTTGCTGGGCCTGTTGCGAAGAAGATTCAGAGAACGGCAGTACTGAGGGACTCGGGATACTCAGCCAGGGCAGGGCAGCTGGATCCCTGCCTGGGAAGGAACCGGGGCAGCTCATGGCTGTGGCTGCAACTGAGACTGACTAACTTACTTATCCACACACACACACACACACACCCCTATTGCTTTCCTGCTTGCGTTCCGGCTGATCCAGTGATCCTGCAAATGTCTTTCTACATATGCTGTTTTTATAACCTGCTTCCTCTGAGCATTTTTTGTTAATAACTTTTTAGATCAGTTTGAAGAAATATTTTTACCTTTTTTTGAGAACAAAAGTAACATAGAAATATCATTAAAAGTAATATTGCTCCAACTGATGGACTGTGCAGCTGCCTAGACCTGCATGAAACTGCCTATGAAATGGTAGGCAAGGCCTATATATTACCTCTTTGCCCTTGTCCTTGCAGTTCCTAAACACTGAGCTGCTCTTGAGAGTGAGGGAGGCAGGAAGGAAGGGCAGGTCTTGAAAGACATCTCCCTCAGTGTTTTAATTTGGTGTTTTGTTTTTGACGTGGTGGTGTCTTGCTTGGTTTTCTTCCACCTGCAAAATGTCCCCTTCCTTGTTTCCTCTGACTCCATTTGGGAACAGTAAGACTACCTGTTGACTGCTGTGGAGAGTCTAACAAACAAAACCAGCCAGCTTTTTGTCTGGCAAGTGTTTGTTCCAGGTTGGGAATGCTGTGCAGCTGAAGTTTCTCTCTTTATCCATCAAGTGCAGTAACTGCTGGTACTGGACCTGACCAAGCTTGTGCTTGGTCAGCACCTGTGCAGCATCTATGTGACATCTCTCAAAACCGACAGAATCCAACTATTTCCCAGTCACAAAGTTGATGCGTGACTTGTTTCATAAGAAAACTATTTATAAAAGTTGTGGGTTTTTTTACTGCCTGAAGGAAGCACTTGGTTTGCGTGTTTGGAACCATGTTATTTGCAGACTGCATATAAGAAATTTAACCTATCTTGCTTTGGCCATGTGCCACTGCCTGGACTGCAGGAAGAGATGAGTGCAAAAGAACCGTCTGCAAGAAGCTTGCTATTTTTGTCTGCTTTTAACATGTACATAGCTGGATCAGAAGCTTTTTTTAAACATCAGTTGTTCCAGTGTTTGAAATAACAAGGCAAAGACTTCTGATCCTATTTTGTAGTGCCCTCAATTAGTACCTTTAAATAAGAGTCTTCTTTTTTAATGTGGGGAAACGCATTATAATAAATCTGAACCTGAAAGACTTTTTTGGTTGATGCAAATGTAATCAAAAGTTCTTTTATGACTAACTAATTAGGTCACTGAAAAATTAAAAATGAGAAATTTAATCTGGAGGGGCTCTTTTTATTGCACCTGTATAGCAGCTGAGCTCTAGAGCATGTTAAACCCTTGCTTCTTGGCGTGACCCATTTAAAGCAGAAAGTCAAGGCTCAGTGCTGCTTTCCACCGAGTCCTTGAAAACTGTAGTTTTGTGTGATGAAACCGAGGACAGCGTTTAGCTCTCAGGAGTGTCACTCTCAAAGTATATGAGCCTGAGCTAGCAAAAGCTGCAATATCAGTAGCTAAGATAAAATAGGACTGGTCCCTCCTTCGGCCCTCTGAAATGCTCTGGTGGGAGGAAGAAGCTTGTGGGTTTTCTGACCCACTCTGCCCTGGCCAGGTCTGCAGCAGAGCACAAATTGAGCCTGGGAGAGGGTGGTTTGTGCATGGTGGGGCAGCTTTTTCTTCTGGGACTTTGCAAACTTGAGTGGGACACATCCCTATGGTGAATCCTTTGCTAGCTTTCCTAGCCTGATGTGACAGCTTATGCCTTGACTGTATCCAGTGAGTTATATTTGTGCCAGAACTGTCAAAGTGTATGGTGGGGGGCAGGCCAGGCAATACATGTGCCCTCTTCTCACATCTGTAATTCACTACAGGATGGAAGAGAGCTAGAATTACATGACATGTGAGCCTTTCTTGTAGGCCTCAGCAGCTGCAGGCTGTCATTTAGTGCTGGATTCTGCAGTTGTACATATGCTCTTCCATGGACTCAGGATTAGGCTGCAGATTTTTAACTGCCTTCCCCTCAAGATACGTGGCTACATTGACAGGATGTGGTGGAGCAGCGGCCAAAAAGCAGAGTGGGATAACGATGGGATGCAGTGGGATAACGATGGGATGCAGTGGATACCACCGCTGCACTTCATTCAGTATTTCTTGAGACTTCACAGGGAATATTGGCAAAGTCCAAGACCGCATGTGGCCACAGAGTAGAACCAAACTTGTTATTTTACCAGCAGCTGAGAGAATACTGCTTGTCTATGCTCCAGGACTCCTGGTTTCAGTTTGTCTATGAAAGACTCCTGCCTTTCAGTTTGTTTACTTCCTTCAGGCATTTCAAAAATCTGAAGCTCATGTGTACCAAGTGAGGAAAGCAGGGACTGTTCCCTATAAGCCAGTCACTGTGCAATCCCATTCGCCGCTATAGGGCCTTGCCTCTAGTCCCCTTCATTGTGTTCATACATTGGGTTAATGTAAACCTCATCTGTATTTTTTGTGGCAGAGTCTTTTGCATCTAAAGGAGGCCAGTTCGGATCCTTTTGCAGCTTCCTCTGCCATTTCCGGTACTTGCTCTTTGACTGGAATCCAAACAAGGTTTTGAGCAGCAGCCAGAGGTGCTTGTTCTGCAGGATAACATCCTGTGGAGTGGCAGAGAGCGGAGTTAGTGCCCGTGCTCTCCCTGGAGAGGGAGAGGTGCTTAGAAGACACAAACTATCCCACATTATATGTGCAAAATCCCTCAAGCCTCTGTTCCTACAGACAATGGGAGCATAGCATTGGGCATCTGCATTCAGTAAAATATTTGCCAATTGCTACATGGACAGCACACTCCCTTGCTCATAGTAAGATGGCTTAGTTGCATCTCTACAGCAGGAGAACTGGGGACCAGTTTTTCCTCCTGGGGCTGCAGGAGGACTGCACACGCCAATTTCCTTACAAGGAACATTACCCAGTTCTGGATACTGCTTTGTTACCCATCTGGTGAGACACAGCCAGCTCTCACCTACATTATTTGTGAGCTTATCTTTTTTTCTTTTTAATGACTGAAATATTCAACTGTACTACCCAGTGCAGTCTCTAGCTGGGCAATTTTAGATGAAGAGGGAAGGGGCTTTTAAAGTCCGTATCAGACATCTGCATGTGCAACTGCCTGCTCTGCTATCCCCAGAGCCAGTCCTGCTCCCAGTGAGGAAGGAAGGGGGGCTTCCTTATGGCAGCACTTCGTTCACTCCTCTCCTGAAGGCTTGTGAGACTCGGTCTAAAGCCTCTGGTGCTGCGTCAAATGGATTTGATTGACACAGTAGAGGGGGAAAAAAGAAAAGGCCTGCGGGTTTATGCTTCTGCAGGAAGAGCATGCGACTGCTAATAAGGGAAGTGAGAAACTGATCCTGTTTATTCTCAGGAAAAAAGAAGGTAAATAAATGTACTCACCTCTGTAAAAAAAGATACACAAAAGGTGACCAGGAGCATCAATAAGAGATAAACTCGCCAGATCATAGGAGTGCAAAGAAACTGTTGAAAATGACACAAACCACAGCTAAGTTTAAATGTCTTGCCAAGATCTGCATCTGTTCCCACTGACTCAAGAGTCTGACTAACAATTTTCCAATGGCAAGCATGGAGAAGGCAGTAAGGAGTAACAGTAATATCTTTTGTCATAGAGATTTTGTAAAGTTTGAGGCTAGATTCTCCATTGCACATAGGTTCTTACCTCGGCTACTGAAACTACTGTTGAAACCAGTGATCGGGTGTCTGAATCAGGATTAGATGCCTAAATATTTCTGGGGAGCAACAGCTAATGTGCAAAGCATAAATCCGGACCCCTGCATGCTAATTCTAATGCCAGGCTTCCACACTAAAAAAAAAAAAAAAAAAAAAAAACCCTGGTGCAAGATCCTGCTTGGGGACAAGCTGCCCAGGCTACAGTAAGGGCCAGTGCTTGCCCCGCGTTCTCTGCTGCCCATTCCCGTGTTTGGGCTGTGCCTCTGGAAGCTGCTGCCTGTGCTCTGACCCTCGCTGAGGTCCCGGAGCACTTTGGGTTTGGTGTTGGGACAGGAGCAGCCCTGCTGCACTGCATGGGCTCGCTGCAGATTTCCCTGCCCACTCCATTCCCCAGCCAGATTCTCCAGCCTCCTCCGCATGCCAAAATACAGCCAACATGATTGTGCTTTGTACTATTATAGAATAAAGGCAGCAAGTATGAGCACTTCTCCCTATTGATGCCCAGTGTCCACAGCAGAATATGAATGCCTCATTGATCAAATGCTTGTCAGCTGGATGTTAGAGAAGTTGCCAAGGGCTGCTCAGTCAGCACCAAACCAGCTAATTCGTCTCAAAGATGACCAGAGCTGTAGCTCATGGCCTATACGAAGGGCCAATGAAATACACAGCATGAAAAGGACACACCTTTTGTTTAAACTTACCTGCATGCCACTATACACAGCATCAATGTCGGCAAAGAAAAGGAAGAGGCAGATTCCGAGCTGGAGGGCCAGTAAGACTGAAAACACATCTGGGAAACGAGAGCAGGTGATCAGTGCTCTGTGAAACATTTTAGGACCTGTCTTTTCCCAAAATATCAAATGAAATCCAACGTTGCAAAGGTTAAACCAAGTCCTGCTTATCACAAGTAAAAAGTCACAATTGCAAAGGACCTATCAGTACCTGAAGGCTAGCAGGGCTAAGTCATCTGTGCAAAACTCAAACAGAGAAAAGAAGGATTATCATGAGAGGATTTGAACAGTAATTGCATCATAGCCTTTTCTCTCTCATCTCTAGGAATGGAGGTCAGGCAAGGCAAGATTGTAGCTCTGTGGAATTCCAAGCAAATATATCTCATTTTTGCTTGCTATCTATGTTCACAATAATATAGAGACTTGGCAATAAGTCCAGCACATCATCTGGAAAGCATATTTTTTCCAAATGGAGACACAGTCATCTCTTTTGGATGTGCTGCTTCTTATTTCAAGGAAGAAGCTAATATAAGAGGTGGTAACTAAGCTTGCTTTAGAGATAGCGAAATAGGAGCTAACATAAATCAACAGTTATTTTACATGCCAGTCAGTGGTGTGGGCACAAATAAAATCATAGTCTCGCTTTCATCGCAGCCTCTCTTGTCAGTGTTATTTTGTGGCAGGAATGTGAGTCTATGGAGCACAGGTTAATCCATCCAACTTACAGTTGGTATAGATGGGCTTGCGAAAGGGCTTTCCCTTGGAAAAGACAAAGGCCACAATGATGCAGTTGATAGTAGACAGTGGCCACAGTGTAGTATCTTCATAGCTGAGGACGCTGCTGTCGGTGCTGCTGGTGGTGCTGTTTCCTCCTGCGCTGCTGGAGGTCTGGGTCTGGTTTCCCAGAGAGCAATGTCTGTAAGGAAACACCTGGGATTTTCTTCCTGCTCCCTGCAGGAGCTGCAGACAGCTCCTCTTACCCAGCCAGCCTCCTATAACCTGATATCATCCACCAAAATCAAAATCCACGTTTAAGTTTCTTAAAGGAAAACAAGAACAACAACAACAAAAACCCAGTTAATTTCCTGGTCTGCGTTAAAATCTCTGCTCTTGAGTGCTGAACACAAGCAGCATACAAGACAGATGGACTTTAAACAAGTGTGTGCGCATCCCGGCTTCCTGCACACCAGTTCAGAAGCGTACGCCCAATGATGCAACCATGCAGTGGCCATGAAATGGCCTCAGCTGGCCACAGGTAGCCATGGGCATTCCCACTGGAAAACCCTGCCGAGCTTCCTATTCTAGAGTTTCATTTCTGCACCATGACATAAGGTGACTAGTTCCTGCGCATGGGCAGATTTTTACATTTCAGAGACACAGCAAATAAGGTTGTTTGCAAACTTTGAGCCATTTTTAAGCCAGGAGAGAGTCAAGAAAATCCAAGGGACTGCTTATTTCTCCAGAAGAGCTTTGTGGTCTGACCCTGGGAGAGGGCAGTGAAATGGAGTGGAAAGAAAGAACCGTGGTGGACAGCGGTACCCCGAGCATTGGTGGCTCTGAGCATCTCATGGCCCCTCCAGGGGACAGAGAAAGCTCCAAGCACTCTGCAACTGGGGCAGCATCAGGAGCTTTGTGCAGCACAGCCCTGGGAGTGCCAATGAAAATGCACCATGTCCCTCCTTTTCTCTGCCTCTTTATCTGCTCTTTCCAGACAAACTTCAGAGGAAAAAGAGACCTTTGAGGAACAGAAGTGCTTTAGCCTTTGGATTTCTACCCTTGATGTGCAGCAACCTATTAGCACCGCGGCAGCGCCCCGCGGGGAAGTCACCGTGCGCGGGTTGGCAGTGCGTGCCACTGTGGGCTGTGCACGCCTGGCAGTGCCGTCCGCAGCTGGGGACACAGCCAAAGGGGTCCTTACCTCTGGCTGGCCATCTCCACGTACCAGGGCTGCCGCTTCACCAGCAGGAAGCCGCAGGTTTGCATGGCTACAGTAAAGCACACGTTGAGGACGATGGAGAGCAGCAAGGGAGGAGAGATGAGCTGGCCAGGAGGGCGGTAAGGCGCCAGCTTTGGATGAGCCTCTGTCAAACTCACTGGAAAGAAACCACGGACATTTCCAGTCTGTGTTGGCTGGGCAAACAGCGTTGCACACCCACTTGCCCATACAACGTGAGAGCTGCAAAATCTCGCCCTAATAAATGTGCAAGAAATAGCTTTGATCTCCACTATTTCCCATCAAAATGCCTTCGAATCCCCAAAGGAAAGGAAAATGTACAGAATGGAGAATATCATCTCCACCTACACATTGGGAGTCCAAGACCACACTGCATCTCACACTGAGAATATGCAGGAGAGCCAAGAGACACAGTCATACCCTCCAAGCCCCACTACCACAGTCTAACTATCGGAGCTATCATAAGAGGAGCAAATGCTCATTTTCCAGTGAAATCACATTCAAATACTCTGCTTTGTGCAGGTTTCCTGTAGCTATGCTTGCAAAGGATTATGAGCCAAATCCCACTCTTTGGACCCAAAGACTGCTCTAACATCAGTGCTTGTGATGTTACTGACAGCAGAATTTGGCTCCTCATTTTAATTTTTATTGGAAAATGCAGTTGACTATTTACACCCGGGCTCTTAAACATACACAGCAGGTTTCCCTGAGCTGCTTACTTGTTAGGCAAACCAGAAGGGTAATGACAACGTCTTGTATCAAATACTGGTAATTTCCGAAGATTTGCAGTTGCTGGAAGGGAAACAAAGAAAGCATCACATGACAACAGGTGTCAACTTTGATGATACAACCTGTGGCACCAATTACCGTTTTAAGGCAACATTGTCATCATCGGCATCATCAAGTCACACTCCTGGGCCTCTACCATACAACTACGGCCCTTTTAGAATTCCCTTTCGTCTTTTAGAATAGATGAAGTTATATCATCAGGCTTTTTCACTGATTCACTGAACACCCTACATCCAGTCTGCCCTGTGCTACTACCTATCCAGCTTTTCATATCTTCATTATTCTGTATTACATAGCCCCAGCTGTGTAATAAAAACAAAATCCCCCGAAAGCATGGTTCATTGATAGAAATATTATACAACTTACTTACCCAAAACAGCAGAGCAGTACCAAAAAATTGAATCAGGCCATAAAGGGTCAGGTATTTAACTACAGCGAAGGAAGCAACCAAAGCAGCTCGACCTTCCCTGCTCAAAAGAGAAAGAGAACAAAAACATCCCCCCGCCCTTACAGCTACAGAGAAAATTCTGTGGTCTTAGTGCTAGATATGGTGTCTGCTCACGAGAGCAACGGCTTTTGTGCAAGGTCTTTACAAAATGTGAATTCCATAGACATTTTGGCCTTAAGATACTGCAGAGCTACTTAACTAGCCCTTCATCTGGAGTTTTGGTTTGTTTGATTTTTGCTTTTATTCTGCAGCTGTAATTCCAATATCTGGCTTAGGCTACTGCTATTTTTTTCATTACTAGTTCAACACTATTGGGAACAAGGTGCATTTCTACACAAAGAGGTAATTGTCTGTAAGGCTCAACGACATTATTGCTGGCTGCTCCTTGACTGTGCGCAATGTGCAGATGTCAATGCCTTAAAGTAATGACAAGCAAACCTATTCTGTGGTCACTGCTACATCTGCCCTTCCATGTGACCCTATTCCTGCACCTATTCCAAAATAAATCAGCACCTGTGGGCAAAGGTCTCCTACAAAACATAAAGACATTCACAACTCTTCAACTTAAAATTAAAAAACTCACCGTCACCAGCAGCAAAACAGCTTTCTGCTTTGTTTTGCTCATTTACTGAGAAATTATTTGGTTTCTCAGAATTCTTGAGGTGAACACATGCATGCGATATCTCTTTCCCCCCTCTCTTTCTCTGTGTGTGCATATGTTTACACAAATAGCCATACAAACATAAGAAAGTAAACACAAATTATTTTCATTATCCCAAACTGCCTCAGGATCCTGCTCACGCCTGTACCCTCCCATTAGCATTCTGGCATGAAGAGCTCCAAGGCAGAGGTGAACTTACCTGATCAGCTCTGGCACACATTGTATATTGGGAATCTGGGATGTGAAGGGAGAAGCCACAGATGCCTCCTGCTCTGACAGTGATATTCCTGCATGGGCCATTTTCAAAGCCTGAAATCCACAGGAGTAATTAAATAGCGAGAAATCCTTACATGCCGCACACCCTGAACCCTACATTTACTGGGGCTTTTCAAGCTTTGCTTCAAATGTCCTTTGTAATTGATCTGCCTCTACCCTGCAGCCTAACTGATCTCATTTTCCAGATAGTATTCCTTCCGCAGGGCTTAAATATCTCTTTTGTTCATTTAATCCCATTATACCTATTTACAGTCTTTTGAACCATGCTGTAGACTCTCCTCCATATTGGAATTTGTGTATAGTACTTCTGTTAAATATTTTGTCAAACTGTTGGGATTTCCTCTTTCTTCCCTCTATTCCTTTCAATGCCCTCTTCATATTTCTTTTATTGCTTTCTTATGAGCTCCCAGCAACCTGATTGCAGCACCTCTTCCTTAGCATCAGCAGTGAGCTGTGGGAAACTTTTGCAACACAGTTTAATATACTATTATATCATTCATATAATAATAGATAATAGGTGATATAATTATTTTCATAACTAAGGCCATCAGCTCTACATTCTAGCACCAGAAGATGAATCAGAATTATTGTAAATATAAAGAAGTGTGTAAAAAGTATTCCTGCCCCCAGTTTCTGGAAAAAAACAAACAGATAAACATACTAAAAAAAAACCCCTTCAGTTCTCCTCTGGGATTTTTGGGTGCTATTATAAAAATAATAAAACACAGATACATTATATTTTACAATGACATACCGACTGAATATACCCACAGGCTGACTTAGAAAATGCTGATGAAAGGTTTTGTTGCACAGCTCCTTGCAACAGTGCTCACTAGACTGACCAAACTGAAACTTTTAACTAAAATGGGACATTAGCTTGTACGTACCCCACAGTCATTAGCTCCATCGCCACACATACCCACGTAGTAACTGATGGGGAAAAGGACAGACATATAAGCCTTGCATGGAAATATTAATCATGCACGGGGATGCCCAGTGGCATCTCATTTGCGGGTATATTAGATCAGGACTCACGTTACTCTACTACAGAAGATGGATGCAGTGGGAATGAGGAGGCTGTGCCCTGAGGTTTAATCACATATGTGGAGGGGTTGGTACACAGCACAGAGAGCAAAATTAGGATTAAATTTAGAAAGAGATTATAACATGAAAGGAAACAATGTTATTTTATTCCAGAGAGCATTTTCCCTTTAGTGCGAGGTGCCATGGGAAGGGAGCGGGGTGTGCATATTCGCACATGTTCCCGTGGCTGCAGTTTGGCTTTTAGTGGCATTTTGTCCCTGAATGTGCCTAGAAGCCCAACAAAGCAGGAAGCACCAAGGACAGGGCAGCTCCCAGGCTGCCTTGGGAGGGACGGCAGGAGTGGGAGGAGCTCCCAGCTCCACCACAAGAGGTTCCTCCAAGAGGCCTGGGGACCTCATCCCTGATGAAGCACCTCATAACCAACAACGTTACTGTTTTCCTTCAGAAACATGTCATATCTTGTTTGTCCTGAACCAGCAGCATTTGTAGTTATTGTGATTTCTGGGGGGGCAGTAATCTTTCCTTTGGAAGGAGCATGTTTGTGGTCACACTCCTGACTGCACCAGGCTTTCTTCAGCTTCACTAAAGCTGCAGCCGCAGCAGCGCTGTGAGCACTGGGAGCTGCTGGCAGGTGGCAGCGGGCATGTGCGAGGGCTAAAGGCTGGCTCTGTACTTTTGTCTCATCCCTGAATAATGCTGCTTACTGTCCTGCAACAGCGAAGCAGCTTCTAAACTGACTGGTGCGTAAAGCTATTCCTGACACACGGGATCCTTGCAGGCAGACTGGGAGGAATGTGGACGCAAAGGGGGTGAACACGGATTCCGTGCAAAGGAAGGGAGGATCAGAAAGCTGGGTTTGGAGCAGTGCTGCCTGTATAATTATATGTCAAACAAAGCATTTTACTTTTCCTTTTTTCTTACCAACCAATAGTGAAACCAAACAAAGTCTTACTTCAGTTTTTGAAACTCTTCTACAAGGCTGGATTTCTGCGCAGGAGACATCCGAGCAAAGACAGTGCCGTTCACCAATATCTGCAAGAAAGAGCAGCAGGCTGTCTTTGGCCTTGCAAGCTGTCCTCAGCCTTGCAGTTGTGGTACAGACTGTGTGGGGTCTGAGGAGGTCACCTTGTGTATGCTACTCCCCCAGGGCAGGATCAGGTCTCCTCGAGTCTAGCACTTAGTGCTTACCCAGGGCAGGATCAGGTCTCCTCGAGTAGAGTCTAGCACTTAGTGCTTCATTTAAAATCCTCCAATTCTGTTTCCCAAATCTGCAAGATTTTGCTATCCATAAAGCTAGTGTTTCCTCTAATTTAGAGTTAGATTTACCATGCTTTGATGTCTTTCTTGTTCTCTCCGTAGCAGGTGCTGGGAAAACAGAATGCCATGCGCTATGAAACAGCCTTTTAAATGGCACAGTTTAGTGCTTTCCAAGGGCACAACAGATGGTTGATGACATGAGTGTAATATTACTTTTTGGCCAGGCTTTCAGGTAGGAAGAAACTTAGGCTTAGTATCTCTCCCAGTTCCAGCTGTTTTATGGATTGTGTGTCAGAAGTTGAGCATTTCTGCTCCTAGCTGGGGTATTTCATTTTTCTGATGCCACTGCTGAACAGAAGACACTGCCAGCTTGGTAGCAATCCATGGGGAAACGGGCTGATATTTTTTAATTAAACTCAAACTGAGAAGGTGACCATGGAGCAGAGCAGCTGCTCACAGCACCACAACTAACCTTGTCACTTGAAACAGGATGAAAGTGAGCTGCTCAGGTTAAACTGAAGAGATTTTGGGAAGCAGCCCAAGTTGTCCACATATGAAATAACAGCATTACAGGTACAGATGGAAAAGTACCCTTCTGGTTCAGGCAGGAGTAGCCTGAGCACAACTCCCATTTAAATAAAATGGGGAGAGGAGAGCAAGTGCTTTATTGTCTCCCAACTTACTTTTGGCAACAGGCTGTAGAAATGCTTTGCAATAGTTTGGTAGGTCTTGCCGTCCATTGCAAAATGGTAGTTGCAGGCTTCGCCTTCCAAGACCACCTTCTCCTCAACATTAACGCTTATCTCCTAGAAATAGGACAGCATTTTTTTTCAGACTCAAGTCACAACATCCTGAAGCCCTGGAGCCTGGGCTGACCCTGGGGCAGGTGTGTCCCTGAAGCCTCCCTTCCCGAAGGATAACCAGCCCCAGAGCATGCAGTGGCAGAGGGGGCAGAGGGGTGTCCAACTCTGCTGAAGTCAGGTCCAGCAAAAGGTCACACAGGCAAGAACCTGCACAAATTGTTTTACCCATGGGGTGGCTGCTGCAAATTGTGTGACACATGGGGCAGCCGCTGCAGCTGCAGAGCCGTTATTTGCACAGTTATTTTACATGTTTTCAGGAGCAAAGAGCCACAGTGAAAGGTCTGTGTCACACCTCTGTGTACCCTGGGGTTATCCCCTGCTCCTCCCAGCTGCTGCAAAATGCCCAGCAAGGAGTCCAGGTGAAAAACCTGACTATTACACACTTGCAGCACCCAAATACCACTTTCCCTGGTGGTGCTTACACTGGACCCGGCTGCGGTTGCCTCGCTGTCCTCCGCCCGCTGCCACGAAAGGGAAGCTGGAGCAGAGCCCTGCGGCTCACTAGCCTGCATGAGGATCACCTGGCTGGCGCTGCCGACGAGCCCCGCGCTCCTGGCCACCGTCACCGCCGTCTGCAGGTTGTCCCCTGCGGACAACATCGACCAGGCAGACCGGTACCACCTGCAGCGCCTGGAGACACTGCAAGAGCCTGTGAGCCCCAGGACTCACCTGTGACCATGACACTGCGGATGCGGGCGGCAGCGAGCTCACGCAGCACCGGCTCTGTCTCCCGCTTCAGGCGGTTCTCCATGACCAGGAGGCCCAGAAATACCAGCTCCGACTCCACCACCTCTCTTAGAGCGAGGACAGAAACATGGACATGCTGTTTGCCTGTGGAATGGAACCTTCCCCATAGGTTCAGCTCTGCTGGGAAGCCACACTGAGCTGGAAAAGCCCTTTCTCCATAGGGAAATCCAAACTCGGGGCAAATGAGGCTCAGCAAGCGCTGACATTTCTGCAGCTCCAGCTGGAGTGCATCTCCTCCACGCTGCAACCACAGGGACGTGTGTACAGAGGGAGGGATGCTTGCAGGAACAGGCAGTTAAGAGTATAACCACCATCTCCATGGAAAATGGTGCTGTGTGGCAAAGCCACTGTCCTTGCACCTAATGTTGGGAACGTTTGGGAAGGGGCAGGCTCTGGGCAGGTAAGGGTAGGAGCGGGAGAGGGACATGGGTCCTCCTTAGCAAGCCTCACCTCTCCAGGAGGGACACGTCTGCGTCCTCTCTGAGGCTTAGCACCTTATGAGCCAGGGCAATGACTCTGAAGCCTTGGCTCGTGTATATCTTGAGCTCCTTTAGGAAATTAGCTGGGACTGTTTGCAGGGGGAAAAGTTTCACAGTTAGAGTATTTCATCTTTGCTGACTTCTTTTCTAGGATTAAATGCCCATCCAGTAGGACATATTACAGCCTTTCCTGGAAGCATTGTGCCCTCTCCAAATAAAACTCAACTCTCTTGTACCCAGGCCCTGTGACTGATTGTTCAAATAAATGATTTATCCATGAATTTCTTGCCTTTAATACACATTGAGTTGCAGTGGGCAGAGGACTGACCCAGGTTCACAAGTCTGGCCTGACTCTTGCTTCCAACATCCTCAGTTATACTTGGAGAACTGTTTTACGTCCACACCTTAATAGAAGAATTCTTCCAAATCCTAAATTTCTAATTTTCTGATAATTCCAGTGACTCTACAAGCAAAGAGTTCCTTTTAACTCTGCTGTAATTAATATACATTTTACAAGCAAAGCCCTACAGTGCAGTACCTACTTATTTATTAATTTGTAAACAATATAAAAATAGTTAAGAGAGGGTAATAGGAGATATTTAGACACCTGAGAAAATGGAATGTAACTTAAAGATATTTTTCTTGCTAACCCTGAATTGTTTGGAGGTTTGTATCATTAGATCTTCAGTGGTGTTAAACCAAATCTTTCCATTGTCCCTCAAAATGATTTTCACCTGTTCTCAGGGCTTTGCCCTCTGAAACAGCAAACCCCAAAGCCACAGACCATCAGTACTCTGTTTGCTTGGTGTCCTTCAGAAGCATTGAAGCAAATGTGAGCTGACTTTCAAGTCTGCAGACAAATTTGAGAACAGACCTGTAATACTGCTCACACACAAAAGATAAAAGCCTCTGTTTGTCTGCAGAGAGAGGACAGAAGTCTTGGCTGGAGTGCTAATTGGCAATTATCCCTAATAACAGTAATTTGCATGTTCACAGCAAGTTGCCATCACTGCGATGTGAAGCCTTTGCAAGCAGGGGCAGTAACAGTGCTGAATTTGCAGGTCAATAAATTAATAAAAAGTTAAGAATGTGCTGCAACACGTGCCATTAGCCTGATCTTACTCCTACTCACCTGCCCGGAGATTTTTGGCATGTCAGCATCACTGGTAGCTGGAGCTTCAGCTGGTGCAGGTCAGCTCATGCTTACAAACCACAGTCTGTATGTCTTGCTAGACACTAGGCCCTGTGCTCCTCAAACTTACAAACAGGCAATGCTCTTTTTCTTCTTTTTTTTCTTTTTTTTTTTTTCTTTTTTGTATTATTAACTAAGGACATTTAACTACTGCATGGTTCAAACGTGTGTTTGTGGGAAGAGCAGCTGCAGTGTGGCCAGTTGGGAGACAGAACTGAAAACCTTCCGGATCACACTCCCAACAGAAACTGTTTTGCAACAAGCCCAAACAAAAACTCCCAAGTTGCCCTTTCCCAATTCTATACCAGTTTCTGGTCTGCAAAAGCCAGTTACTGTTTCCGGGGCTCCCTTCATGTACAAGTCGTACTGCTCCTTTCCAATCTTCTGGGTAACAACAGACATTCTCTGCAACCCTGAAGAAAACGGGAATTGATGGAGGATTGCTATTCCTTCCACAGGAGCCTGGAAAGAGATCAGAAAAATAAGCTGTTATTTTGGTACTTGATTCACTGATTGCACAAAGCAAATCCCTCCTGAGCTTTTGCTTGTTTGTTTTTTTCTGACCAACACAATTTATTCACTTTTGCTGCCTTCTGCCTGGGGGATCAGGCCACTGATTGCAAGCTTGAGAACCACTGCCTTAACATATTTGGCTTCCCAATAATACTTCCAGAGCCCTCAGTGCTCTTCTTTATATTTAATGTGTTTTCCAGGCTTTGTCTCAGTGTTTTTTTTAATAACCTTATATTGATTCCTGGAGCTACAAATGTGGAAGCTGACATCTGATGTACTACAGTGACAATACCAAGGGAGCAGAGTAATCCTAGAAATAAGTCAGTAACTTAATTTGGAATTTGGAAATTATTAATTTTTAGACATCTGAGCCCTTCTTCAAGTTGCTAATGTTTTAGAGCTCCAGTAGGAGCATCAGGAGTCTCTTATCCCATCAGCAGTTCTTGCCTTAACTCCTTTCTCCTGCTGGTCAGAGATGTACAAGGCTCTGCTGCTGCCCATGGCTGTTGCTATAACCCCTCTCACACCATTGCTCTTTCTTCTGTGCTTTTTTCCCAGCTTACTTTGTTTTTGCTAGTTTCCAGTGTCTTACCAGCATTTCTTCCTTTTTATCCTTGATTTTTTTTAATATATTTTTGTCAACTGTATTTAACTCTTAGGAGAGAGAGAGAGATTTGCAGCCCCAAGATGCTGCCCAAAAAGCCTAACCTACTCCCTCTTCCACTTCAAACAGAATTTCCTTCCTAAGCCCTAAAAGCTTCCAGCTGGCCTACTTTGGGGATGATGCAGCATAGCCCCAAAACAGTGGTTGAGAGGTGTTTAAAAGCCTCTTGCCAAGGTAGATATGCTAGGACTTTACATATGCTGTATGATAAAACAGAATATTCAGAATATTCACACCAAATACTCTTTCTCAAAAAGAACTGAACTCACAGCGCTGGCTTTTGGTCCGGGTCTAACTATGCAGGTGTCAAGATTGCTGGCCCCATCGTGAGCTGTGCTGCAATCCTCCATTTCCTGCAAAAGAAAAGCATCACTGGTGCCATCTCAGGGTGCCAGTGTCCCCTGGAAACCGGGCAACGGAGCAGTCAGCTGCGGGGCCACCCAAGCTCACAGAGCTCACTAAAGAAACCTTCTCATTTATCTGTGCTGCAAAAAATAATTTCTACCCTCAATTTTCATTAGCTTGTTCTCTCCACGTTTCTGACAACAGTTGTTGCTGTTGTTGATTTAAGCTTCACACCTGCCTTTTAAAAGCAGGAACAGCAGGACATGGCAACATGCTTCCTCCTTCCTGTTGACAGCAAGCTGAAGTGCTTCATTATAATAAACTGCTTTCCACCCATCGCCAGGGACAGCCTCCTTGCAGCCTTGCCCACATGGTCCTGCATGTTTTGCCTTATCAAAGTTCATAAAAAGAAAATAGAAATGTCATGGTTTCTCTAAGCTC